TTGCTTCTGGATTCTTTGGGCTCCACATGTGGCTCTCCTGGCAACAACAGCCTACATTCTCGTTTCTTTTCTTTTTTTCCCCTTTTTTTGTAGAGGTTTTTGCTTTAAAGGGCATGTGCGCTCGCCAGAGAGACAGAAAGCGAGAAATCACCCCCCAGGGGGGATGGCCACGCCACATTCCCTTCTCCTCCATTCTCCTCTCAGGATCTTGGGCACACACACACACACACATGCCTGGCATGAGTTTAAACCACCGGGTCCAGGCTTTGAACCATGGTCGACTAGTGGGAGTCCAGCGACATAGCCATTATGCTAACTGCTGGTCCCACATTCTCTTGCTTCTAAGCCCAGCAGAAAAAAGAAAATCTGTACCTACTTTCCCAGCAAAAATTCTGAGGTTCACTCAGGTTGGCTTTACAGGCTGAATATACTGGTCACTGATCTGGGGGATGGGACACACTGGCCAATACCAGGGTTACTCTGGGGATGATGCCAGTACTAACTGCCTAAACCACATCCGCGGCTGATGTTGGACAGAAGAGTGATTTTCCATAGAAAGCATGGAATACTGTTTGTTCCTTGAAAAGGAATATGTAGTATATTAAACCACAAATTCTTACTGTCTTCTCCATCCCAATATCTTGAGCTGCTGTAAACCCATCATTTTCAAATACCACATTTCCCCTTCTTAGAAAAGGATGGGGAATTGGGGAATAAATAGTTGAAATATCAATAGATTATTTCTCCACACATTCCTCCATACTTCTCCCCTACTGGACGTAAAGAGGGAAAGCATAATTAAGACCTTTTCAGGTAATGGTCCTGATCAGTCTGTCTGTCTGTCTGTCTAATTTGCTGTTGTGTGTGTGTGCTTGCCAGAGACAGGAAAGGCGAGAAAAAGCACACCCCGGTGTATGGCCAAGCCATAATCCCTTCTCCATTCTCCTCTCAGGATTTTGGGTATGCACGTACAGGTGCACAGCATGTTTTTCAAGCCTCCAGTTTGGCCATGTGAGATCAGCCACCTTAACCACCACACGTGACTGGCTGGCTCATATCAAAGCTTTTTTTTTTAATGAGGGAAGATTCATATACATACTGTGTTCTCTCTCCTGTTACTCAACCCTTCTGAGACTTTCTTACAGGCAGTTTACCTAAAACCATTTATTTGACCATTTTGTACATGCTGTAAGTTAATTTCTCATGTGCCCAACTCTTAATTTCATAGACTAGTGTTCTTTCCATATTAGGTAGATTAAACTCATATACCTAATGAGGAAGTAAATCAGTTAACAAATTTTTCAGAACTTAACATTTTCTGTACTGCTGTTTACCTTTAAAGTATTTGGTCATGAAAAGGCCGGCAGGTGGTGTGCTGGTTAAGGGTGATGGATTCCCACATAGTTGACCGTGGTTCAAGTCCTAGACCTGGCAGCTTGCTTTCTCACTTTCTCTTTTGCTCTCACTCTTACTCTATCCCTCTCTGGTCAAATTTAAAAGAAAAAAGAAAAAGAGAAAGAAAGTTAAATTAAAATAATTCTTCAAAACAATATTTAGCCATGGGAAGTAATTGTAAATTTTCAGTTTAAGCAAATCCAGTAATTATCTCCATCTCCTTCATACAGCTTGCTCTCTCTGGTACCTTTTTTTTTTTTTTTTAACCTGCCATTTTTCTATATCAGCAGTTCTCAAGTTATTCTGCATCAGGATTACGTTGAATACTTGCTAAAGCACAAATTTCTAGGCCCTTTTCTAGAGTTTCTCGTTCACTAGATCCTAGATGGAGCCAGAGAATTTGCAAGTTCTCAAGTGATACTGAAGCTGCTGGTCCAGAGACCTTTGTCTTGAGAATCTCTTTAATGCATAAAACCACTTGTTCCTGCCTCTGCTGATTTCTGTTGCCACTCTTTGAAGCCATCTGAGATCTACCCTAATTGGTCCTTCACTTTTTCTTCTATAATAATTTCACTCCAGCTTTAAAACAAACCTGTTGTATTGCCTAGACATAGCCCTAATTAAAGTGTAGCGTTTTGCAATATTTAGAGGTGAAATATACCGATGCCCTGAAACTTAGAAATGTATAAAAAATGGGGACTGGGAACGACCAGTTAGTGTAATGGCTATGTCACTGGACTCCCACGTAGTCGACCGCGGTTCACCAGTTTGGGAATACAGAAGTCTCACAGTATCCCCAAAGATTGGTTCCAAAATCCCCATAAACACTAAAATCCACATATGTTCAAGTCTCTTATTTAAGATGGCATTATATGCAGATAAATTAGCCACATCTTCCCATATAAGTCTTCCATAAGTTACCTACAACACCTAACACAATGTAAACCCTATATAAATAGCTATTATACTGTATTGTTTAGGAATAAGAACAAGAAAAAAAGTCCATATGTGTTGAGTATAGATAAAACTATCAGGTACCAGCAGTTAGCCTAATGGCTATGTCGCTGAACTCTCATGTAGTCGACCCTGGTTCAAGTTCTGGACCCGGAGGCTTAAACTCATGCTGGTCACGTGTGTGTGCATGCCCAAGATCCCAAGAGGAGAATGGAGAAGGGATTGCGGCGTGGCCATCCCCCCTGGGGGGTGATTTCTCGCTTTCTGTCTCTGTCTCTGTCTCTGTCTGGCGAGCGCACACGCCCTATAGCGAAAACCTCTCTCAAAAAAAAAAAAGATAGATGAATGGATGTGTGAGAAAGCAAATATATCAAAATAATAAGAATTGTAGCATCTAAATGTTGAGTCATGTGGGTATTCACTGAAAATTTTTTCAACTTTTTTTGAAAGTAAAATTTTTCATAATGTTGAGAAACAATAAACTTATGTATCTAGAATTTATGAGGAATATAGCTATACAAGTATTCCCATTAGATTTAAATATGAAATTGTTTCTGTAGGTAAAAAAATGTGAATATAAGCTGTTTCAGTTGATTCAACCTGATGTTAAGGTTGTCTTAAGTAGATATATGTTAACATTTTTATATTATTTTCCTGAAATTTACTTTCTTTAAAATTTGCTTCACCTTAATACTGATTAATTATGCTGATATAGCTGTATGTAGCTATATATGTATTCTTCTGTGAAAATAAAAAAACCTTGTGAGAACCTAGAAAGTCTTTAGATAACTTGCCTTTGTTTGTTGCCAGAATGATATTTTCAAGAGACACACAAATATATTTACAAAGTGACTTCAGTGGTGGGGAAAAGTATATACGAACGACACCTCAGTTAACGAATCTACTTGGTAGTATACTCACTAATTAAAATCGTATGCAAAAATTGTAGGTTAAAACCCAGTCATAACATGGGTGGTCATAGTAATTGTACAGAAATGTGAAAATACCCAATGCCACTGAATTGTACCTTAAAGTTGTTAAAGGAGCAAACTATATGTTTATATTTTACCATGCTAAAAATAAGCATTTCGGGACAATTGTAGTACAGCAGAAAGGCCCAGACAGCTGAGCTGAAGTGAGTCTGGGTACTAATAAACCAATGCTACCTACCTTCTAACTTACCTACAGGCCTGTGAATTCTGACTGAATTTGAAAGTTGAATAAAATCACAGTTTTAACATTGTTGCCTTGGATTTTGTTTATTGTTTCCCCTCTTTAGAATTTTGTATTGTTCTACAAGGACTAGAAACCTCACCCATCTGTAGTACCTGACTATAGTCTTTCCCACTGAGCTTAGTTAAGCTAGTTGTTCTGACGGAAGCCACTTATCTAATTAAGTGAAAAGTTCACAGTAGGTAACAAGCTTTAATTAGCAGTTGTTTCCACTTAAATAGTCAAACTTTAATTGGGGGGAGGAGAGAATGGTCTCATTGAGTTAAACTATTTGCCCTAATTGAAGTTGGTGTGAAATTTAGGTTGCAATTCCTTTTTTTCTCCCAAATAGCCTAATTCCACAGGGAGGAAAAAAAAGCTTCATGTAGTACCCTTTAAAAAGAAGTGGGAATGTCCTTTATTTTGTTTTTTTCAAAGAGTGATCTTTGCTATAGGACATGTGTGCTCACTGGAGAGAGAGAGACAGAGAACAATAAATCAGCCCCAGGGAAGATGGCCACACCGCAGTTCCTTCCCCATTCTCCTTTCGGGATTTTGGACATGTGCATCCAAGCATCTGGCATGAGTTTTAAGTAGCCACATCTGGGATTCCAACCACAGTCAACAGTGTGGGAGCCCAGCAATGTAACCATTACGCCATCTGCTGGTAAAGGGAAAATGTTTTAAAATTAAACATCTCAATAGAATTTTTTCATACATATAAATGTTCCAGACTTGATACTTTTAGATTTGAAGTATAATTCACTCGCCCAAAAAGGAAAACCATTATAAGTCATACCTATCAGAGAAACACACAGACCCCCAATTTGTCATATTACCATGCTAAAAATTTATCCTGATAACTTCATTTCTATTTGCACTTTTTAAAAAACTTATCTTTTTCTCTTCTTACAGTAATATTTACCAGAATGATGTTTTTTTCACAGTTGAAAATTGAATGAGATTGTCTGTGGAATCATTGCATAATACTATGTTTTTCAAGTTCAAAAGGCTAATGTTACCAAAATGGCGAGGACCCTGAATTTCACTTATTTTCTTGGTTACCACTTCCCAAGGAGTTATTAGGTCATGTAAAACAAAAGCAGGGCCAGCCCTGTGGCCTAATGGTTAAGGGAGCCAGATTTCACATGACCAACTGCACAGCTTGACTCTGAGCCCTAGCAGCTTGAAAAAGCCAGTGTGTGTGTGTGTGTGTGTGTGTGCGTGCATGCATGTCCCAAATTTCAGCACAATGGGAGGGGGTTCCTCTTTCTCAGGCAAACACATGCACAATCTGTCAATAAAAAAAAAAAAAGATAAGTAAACTTGAGGGTTGTCTCTTTGCAGTCTGATTCATTAGAGAAGTGATGAATTACTAGAAAGATGGAAGAGGCAGAGTCCTAAAGATAAACATCATCGTTTTTTCTCTTAATTTACAGAAGTTGCTGGGTGTGTTTTGCCACTGATGAAGATGATAGAACAGCTGAATGGGTGAGACCATGCAGGTGCAGAGGATCGACAAAATGGGTTCACCAGGCTTGTCTACAGCGCTGGGTGGATGAAAAACAAAGAGGAAACAGTACAGCCAGAGTGGCATGTCCTCAGTGCAATGCTGAATACTTAATAGTTTTTCCAAAGTTGGGTAAGAATATCTTCGAAAACAGCACAGACATATTTAATGTGATTTTACATCATTGTGATTGCCCCACCCCTTTGCTTTTTGTGAATTTCTATATTCCCTTTCTGTTTCTTCTCCAAATGCCAGAGACATTTGTTTCACTAACAGTTTATCATATCCTTAATATATCCCTCATATTCATTTGTCTGTGTATTAACTGTTTTCACTTGGTTGAGAGGAGAAAGAATTTGCATATCTAACCATGTGGATATAATCAAATAACAAAGCTATAATAAAAAGCTGACTTTAAAAGCCCAATACTCTGGGAACCAGCAGTTAGCGTAATGGCTATGTCGCTGGATTCCCACGTAGTCGACCGCGGTTCGTGTCCCGGACCCGGTGGCTTAAAACTCACGCCGGGCGCGTGTGCGTGCGTGCCCAAGATCCCGAGAGGAGAATGGAGGAGAAGGGATTGCGGCGTGACCATCCCCCCTGGGGGGTGATTTCTCGCTTTCTGTCTCTCTGTCTCTCTCTGTCTGTCTGGCGAGCGCACGCGCCCTACAGTGAAAATCTCTCCAAAAAAAAAATAAATAAATAAAAAAGCCTCATTCTCTGGAGATGGTTTAGGAGAATAAAAGCAGTAGTGTTCTAATACCTCTTAATTCTTCTGTTTAGGAGTAAAAGTAGGGAAATTAAAGCTATAATAAGGTATAGAATTAAACTAACCTTTGGACTCCAATTTATGTTTTCTTTTATGTAAACTACTCTTTTCTGGGAACTATCAGGCAAGGAATAATCAGAGGTCTTTAAGAATAGAGCTAGCATGGAGAAAAGTATAACACACTGTTTAAAAACAGCTGTAACTTAGCTTGTTCCATTATAACCATATGGTTAAGAACTGGAGTTCTCTTTGGTATTCATGCCATGCCAGTTGTTCAGTGTTTGTGATATCACCTTTGGCAATAACCAAGAAGTAAAGGGAGGTAGTTTCAGTTCTGAGATAATCAAAAGGTATGACTGTGGGAGTAGTACAGTTCAAAAAACCATTAGAAATAATCATTATATTTTTAATTGCTAGTGGGTGCCTACACCTGATGGGGGGAGTATGTGCACATGTGAGACAGAATCCCCTGATGAGGCCTGGTCATCATGCTGCAGTCCTTTTTCCTCCATTTCTCCATCCTTGTAGGATTTGGGACATGCATGCACACACACGCACAGTGTATTTTTCAAGTGACCATGGCTAGTATTTGAATCATGGTCAGCCATGTGGGACCTGGCTTTCCATGCACAGCCCCTAACCAGTGTGCTACAAAGCCAGCCCTAGATTTATTGTTTGTAATAGGTGTTCTACATATTGACAGCAGAACCATGGTTTTTAAAATGTGGCAACATAAATGCAGATCATGAAGTGCTTTTCTAATGTGAGAAGGTTAATAATAGCAAACAACTTCTATAGTCTTTTTCTTTAGCATGATGCAGAGGAAGAAATGATAGGTTCTTATGAAGGGGAAGTAGTGCAGTAAAGGAGTGTTCTTGAGCGTTCGTAATTTCTGGACCACACGACAAGTCTTCAGGCACACCAGTGGTTTTAGATAAAGTAAACACAGAAGAATAATCCAAAATGTCTTCACTGTAAAATCAAAGCAGCTAGTGCTATAGTCTTTCACCATATTGATATCTGGCTCTCTAAAGTCAAAGTTAAGGTTTCCTAATTAACTGGTTACTTAGACTCTTTAGTCCTGCTACATTAGATAGTTTCAGCTTTCAATTATTGACTGTTGGAAACAGCAGCAAGTATATGGTGACTCTTTAAATGTTCAAATGGATGGACACAAAATTCATTGCAAGAATTCCTACATACAGTGTTCAGGCAGGCACCAAACTCGGAAATGTTATGGCACTCAGGAGAGTCGAATATTTCAGTTTGGGAGTTGGGTAGGTCTGTCCTTTTGATTGAATTCAGTTCTAGAAGATAATCTTTTCAGGTTTTATACAGTAATTGAATGTGATTTCAAGTATACCTAATAATAATGGTTTCTTTCTAAAAAAGGAAATACTTAGATATTGTAAAAGAGTCAGATTCTTTGATTAAACCATTTGTATCGTGATTTGGTCTTCATATTTTAACCTTAAAAATTTTGGGGGGGGACCAGCGGGTGGCGTAGTGGTTAAGGCGCTGGACACTCCCACATGGCCAACCGTGGTTCACGTCCCGGACCTGGTGGCTTGCTTTCTCACTTTCTCTCTCTCTCTTTCTCCATCTCTCTCTGGTCAAATTAAAATAAATTAATGAATAAATAAAATTTTTTAAAAAATAATAATTTTTGGGGGGTGATGGGGGACCACCAGATGGCGTAATGGTTACATCACTGGACCCCCATGTGGATGACCACAGTCCTAGCCCTGGACCTGGCGACTTAAAAAACTCACATTGGGGGACCAGCAGTTAGCGTAATGGCCATGCTGTTGGACTCCCATGTAGTAGACCGCAGTTCTAGTCTCAGACCTAGTGTGCTTAAACTCATGCCAGGCGTGTGTGCATGCGTGCCCAAGATCCCGAGAGGAGAATGTAGGAGAAGGGATTGTGGCATGGCCATCCCCCCGAGGGGTGATTTCTCGCTTTCTCTCTCTCTGTCTGTCTGGTGAGTGCATGCGCCCTATAGAAAAAAACAACAACAACTCTCCAAAAATAAAAAATAAAAAATAAATCACTCCCCAGAAGGATGGCCACACTGCAATCCCTTCTCCTTTTTGGGCATGCATGCACATGCACTTAACATGATTTTCAAGCTGCCAAGTCTGGGACTTGATCTGCAGTTGGCCATGTGGGAATCCAGCACCTTAACCATCATGCTACCTACTGGTCCCAACAGGGACTTGATGGTACAGTCTATCTCTAGTCCTCACCCAGCTCTGCACATGTCCAACTTATTCAGGGAGATCTGTGGATTTGAACTGGGAACCTTCCCATGTGGGATTGCCTCCCAGAGTATTATTTTACCCCCACACCACTGACTGGCCTCTGCTGCTGCTTTCTTGCATGACATGTTGAAATCTTTAACACTGCTTTGAGAATAATGAGCCCAGCATGCTGGCATATGGATAGTGCCACTGTTTGGAAGGCTGGAGCTGCAGGAGAGGCCCAGATTTGGCTCCTGGGCCAACCTGAACATATTAAACCTACAGTTGCACTCACCTATAATTCTAGCTGATTGAGAGGCTGAGGCGGGAGGATCTCTATGCAGCTAGACCCTGTCAAGGATAATTATATCTGTTTTTCTCCTCTTTTCCCCCTCTCATTAAGGAAAAAAAAAAAAACATAGAGGATGTATTATCAAATACCAGCTGTTGTCAATAAATGAAGTCACGTGTGAAGTAGTTTTCAGATAGTGGACTTTTCCTTGCTGCTGCACAAGTTAGTACTCTAGCCATAGGGATCCTAGTATACCTTTTAAACTCAAGGTTCAAAAATAATTGTTGGTGGGGCTAGCAAGTGGCGTGGTGGTTACCGGCCATGGACTCCCACATGGCTGACCACAGTTCAAGTCCTAGAACTGTGGTTTGCTCTCTCTCTCTCCCCCTCACCCCACTATGTCCCTCTCTGTCAAATTTAAAATAAATAAATAAATATAAATAAGCAAGAAATCACTCCCCAGAGGGGATGGTCATGCCACAATCCCTTCTCCTCCATTCTCCTCTCGGGATCTTGGGCACACACGCACATGTGCCCGGCGTGAGTTTTAAGCCACCAGGTCCGGGTCGCGAACCGTGGTCGACTATGTGGGAGTCCAGCGACATAGCCATTACGCCAACTGCTGGTTCCCATAAAATAATTCTTTTTTTAAAAAAATTGTTGGTTAAAAGAAAATCCCGAGTTACCAGCAGTTGGCATAATGACTGTGTTGCTGGACTCCCATGTTGTCGGCCACTGTTCAAGTTCCAGACCCAGTGGCTTAAACTCACACCAGGTGCATCCCAAGAGGAGCATGGAGAAGAAGGGATTGCGGCATGGCCATCCCCCTGGGGGGAGTGATTTTTCACTTTCTGTCTGTCTCTGTCTTTCTGGCAAATACAAGTGCCCTATAGCAAAAACCTCTCCAAAATAAAGAGAGAAAATCCTGTCTCCATAGGATGTTTCTATTGATAATGAGAATTAAAAGTTGCCTATATTTCTTAAGATACAATGTAAGATTATTAATTATTTTAATTATTGTTTAAAATTCACTTTTTTTTTTTTTTTCAATTCTTTTAGTTTTTTGCTATAGGGGTCATGTGCTCACCAGACATGAAGGAGGGAAAGTGAGAAATCATCACCCGGGGGATGGACACGCTACAGTCTCTCCTCCATTCTCTCTGGGGATCTTGGGCATGCATGCATACTTGCCCAATGTAATTTTCAAGTGGCTGGGTCCAAAACTTGAACCACAGTCAGCTATGTGGATCCAGCACCTTAACTTCCACACCACTTGCCCTATAATTGACTACATTTTTTTTTTAGAGGTTTTTGCCTAGGGCATATGTGCTCACTGCAGAGAGAGAGTGAGAGGGAAAGTGAGAAATCATCCCCCAGAGGAGTTGGCCATGCCACAATCCATTCTTTTCCATTTTCTTCCTAGGATCTTGGGTACATACACATGCGTTCCTGGCATGAGTTTCAGGCCACCAGGTCCAAGACGAACCATGGTTGGCCATATGGGACTCCAGCAACGTAACTGCTACACTATCTGCTAGCCCCCAAATTGACTACTTTTTAAGAGCATATTTAGGTTCACAGTGAGCACAAAGTACAGTTTCCAATAGACCACCCTGTGCCTATAGGTACACAGCCTCCCCCACTGTCAGAATCTTACACCAGAATGATACATTTGTTATAATCAGTTGGTGAACCTATATTGATAAATCTTAATCAGCCGAAGTCCATAGTTTGCATTAGGGTTTACTCTTGGTATTGTACATCTTATGGGTTTTGGTAAATGCAAAATAATATGTATCATTATAGTATCATATAAATAATATCCATC